CAGACACTGGGTGGTTTTCAAAGACACGGTGTTTTCCATTAGGGGTCCAGGTTCCATCACCCCATCATGACTACACTGTCGTTTATATTACTGACCTCTGAATTATGATTTAGCAGTCAAGAAGAGCTCTGATGGCTCTTCCCACTCTCCTTTCCTTCCCTAAACTCCACATTCCAGTGAGAATCTGGATAGAGCGGAAGAGAAAAATCAACTTTGTGAAAATCATAACTAAGCAAACAACAAACCTCTGACAACATGAGAACTGTTATTTCAAAATGTTTGTAGTCAGACTTACTGTTGACTGAAAACAACGAAAGGTTTCTATTCCACAACAAGTAGAAGAGCATGGGATCAAGAAACATAAAGACCTGGGTTCTAGTTCTGACCCTACCACTTTACTACTGGCGTGACCTTGGACAAGTCAACTAATTTCTCTGGGTCTCAGATTCCTCACCTGTCAAATAAGACAACAGTGGTCCTCAACTCTTTGGTGTCTAGACCCCTGAGAAAGTCTTTAAAATTATTGAGTACTCTCCTCCCCAAAGCTTCTGTTCATGTGTCTATAAGTATTTACCAGATTAGGAATTAAAAGGAAAATGATTTTGACTGTGGACCCTCTGGAGGGACTTAGGGACCCTGGGACTTGCTGTACTACAGCTTGAGGACCACCAGACTAGATGATCTCAATGTTTCCTCTTAAAGCAATATAGCTCCTTAATATTCAACTTGGGGATATACATGAATTAAAATATTGAGAAATCTGGGGTTCACCACAGAGCTCGGGTTGCAGCTGCTAGGATTTTTATTTAACATTAGCTTCAGTAACCCAGCTTCTCATGATGAAGTGGGGACACTGTAGTTCCATTAGAGGCCACTAGGTGGGGCGGACACTAGCGCGCTGGGCCTGAGGTCAGCCTGAGTTGAAATCCAGCCCCACACACTTAGGGCAAGTCACTTCACCTGTTTGCCTCAGTTTCCTCAATTGTAAAATGAGGATAACAACAACACCTACCCTACAGAGTTGTTCTGAGGATCAAATGAGATAACATTTGAAAAAGTGCTAGTACAGTGTCTGGCACAAAGTAGGTGTGGTATAAATGCTTCCTGCATTCCCTTTCCTTCATCAAAACTAAAAAAATGTTCATATTATGAAAGAATCAGATTACTCTAGAGGACAGACACTTAGCTCCTATTAAGCACTACATTCTCCACTAAGGGCTTTTGCAGCACGTAGTTGCTAAGAAGCCAATCTTGGTGGTTAAAGATATTGTATATTTCTGTAAGCAAATGAAAGAAAAATATACGTTCCATTTTAACAGATAAAGGACGAGAATACTGTTAGAAAGTCAGATGGATAATTAGAGACTGGATGATAAAGCTAAATTTAACAAGGTCACATGCTACGAGTATGGATTGAAATTGGAGCACTGGGCACTAAAGGGATGGGGTACTATTAATTCTACTTCAGATAGCTCCCTTTTTCATCTTTGGAGAAACTATTTTAATGGAGATTCAAGCGTATTATAGTATAAAAGGGACCTCAGAGATCATTGGGTATAACTTCTTTTTCACAGATGAGGTGAAAGAACTTGTTCAAGGTCATACTGTTAAGACAGATTTGGAAGGGAACTGAAAGACCATTTATTGTAACCCCTTCATTTTACATGTGAGGACACAGCCCCAAGAGGTTAACAGGCCTGGCTGAGGGAACATAGCTCAGGTAGACGGCAGAGTAAGGATCTGAACCTAGATTCTTTGAATCTACACTCGGAGCTCTTTTCCACTGTCACGCACCAGCTGGGACAAGAAGGAAGAAGCAGAGCCGAGCCTCAAATCTAGAGCCTTTAAATAACTCCAAATCCAGTGCTCTCTTACATGTCACTTAGTTTAACCCCCTCATTTTGCAAACTGGTAAACTGAGGATCAGGAAGTTGCACAAGAATATACCGGAATACGGGGCAGCTAGGTGGCGCAGTGGATAGAGCACCGGCCCTAAAGTCAGGAGGACCTGAGTTCAAATCTGGCCTCAGGCCAAACACTTGACACTAGCTGTGTGACCCTGGGCAAGTCACTTAACCCCAATTGCCTAAAATAAAAATATACTGGAATACTAGAATGAGAATTCAAATACTTACTGGTAAATACTTATTCAAAAATTGATTTGAATAAAAGTTGGTCAAATTTATTTACTCTGCATGTTTTATTTTCATTTCCTGCCTTTCTGTAATTTCATGGTATATCAATGCCTCCTTCTAATTTAGGCAATCAAATATAGCCATTTACAAAATGTCACTGACAAATACATGTATTGGATTAATCAATCTTAATGGCTAATTTCAGTTTTCAAGATGAGTGTGGCTAAGTATTTGTAACCAAATTGATCATTGTGCTCTTATTTAACAGCAATTCTCATATATAGAGAGATCCATGCTATACTTGAACAACTTATTTTAATGTTGGTACACAGTTACTTTCCATTATTGTCACTTCTGAATATTGAGTTCTTGGTTATAGAACCAAATGGAAAGATCTCTTTTATCCTTCCATTATGTCAAATATAATCTCAGCTTAAGTACTATCATAAATTTTAAAGAAGAAATGAAATAGGATAAGAAATGAAAACACAGTTAACATTGTTTTCATTCTTTTGGTCCAGTAGTTGAACACAGTGCAAGTAATAGTAACTCATCTGGGCATTCTTCCATGATTTAAATTAAGAATGCCTTTCTCTATTTAGCATGGAACTTATGACCTTCCTTCCGATGTAGGCAATACTGTTACTTTTATAAAAATATACCCTAAAGGACAAGTCTGTATCTCCTGAAGCTAATGGGCCAACATCACATTCTATATGACAAATATTCCTTTCTTCCTAATTAACTTAAGTTTTTCTTTGAAAATACCCAAAAGAACAAGCAATTTCATTTGTACTTCATCTTGCTCCTTTCTGTTACATGTGTAAGCCACAAGTAGGTTATCAACAATACATTTCATTTCCTTCTTAAATAATTCAGCTGTGAGTTGTGTACAAAGCTTGTTTGGTTCCTTTTTCCATTAAGCTCTCTTCACACATTACCCTTGAACTGAAGAATTAATTCATGTGAGACCTAGCTACAGTTCTGAGTTTAGATCTGAAGCTAAGGAAAATTATCCATCTGCAGAAGAATTTTTATGGTGGTAGTGTAGTATAGAGTGGGTTTGGAGTAAAAGGATTCTGGGTTCAAATCCTAGATCTGTTACTCAGATGATCTTAAACTAATCTCCTTACTCCCTCAGTCTGTTTTCTTACTTGTAAACTGAAGGGTTGAACTAGATTTCCAAGGTCCCTTCTGACTAAATTTTCTTTGCTTTATGTCTGCACCAGAATGACCTTCAAGGAATTAGATACAGCATAGTTCCAGTGATACATTTGCAAGAAATCAAATTAATTCATTTTCTGTATATTTAGCTGGTTTTGTACCTATAAAAGGAGCTTAGCAATTAGGATCTTTCCTAATGCTCCTTTTCCTTTCCTTTTATTAAAACAAAAATGTAATCTGTACAACAGTTTCCTGCAGTCCCGAGAACCAGAGTTGGTCTTAAATCTGTTACTAAATAGCTCAACGACCTTGGGACAAGTTACATAATAACCGCCAATTTTCTCATCTGTAAAATAAATGGGTTAAATAATCTTCAAGACCCCTATTATTCTAAAGTTTTATAATTCTATATTACTTGACAGTAAAAATTAATTTCTATAATAAGGAGTTCCTCCAATCAATTACTAAGATCAATACCACCACACCAATCATTTAAGATGTTCAATCTGACAATGGGGAGTAGGAATTTTAGGTTTAATTCTATAACTAACACCTGGAACCAGGAACCCCATTTTTTTTTTAGAACTGTATTGCATTCCACCCATCACCCTGAGGAACATGCAGATCTTGATTACGTCACACTAACATCCATTCCCTCCCCGCCCTTTGTCCTTCCATCAGAAGAAACCAGAGCTCAGATCTTAGAAGATTAGAGGGCATTACATTCAAAACAAATTTCTTCCAGATTTATAACAAACGGGTCACTGAAAGCATTTGTAGCTTCTCTTTAGAAAGGGATATTAAGAATACAATACACGTCCTAGACTTATAACAATTAGATATCAGAACACATTACATTTGTGAAATTAGATATGGCTGAACGTTTCCACCCACAAACGTAGATTTTTATCTGGGGCACCTGGAAGCGCCACCTTCTTAGCCATGTTACCGCCTTCTCAAGTCAAAGGTTTCCCACGGGAACTGTCTCCTTCGCCTTTATCAAAATTACAGAAATAAAATAAAACGGAAACTTTAAGGTGAAAGGACACAGGCAAGATTTTTAACCACGTGTCTAGAGGATGGGGAAGCATAACCTTCAGTCACTTCTTTTAGTTCATCAGTGCAGTATCTTAAGGGGGATGAAAAAGCACACCTGGTGGGGAGGGGTCCCAGGAAACGAGATTCCCCCCCAGAAGCCCGTCTTCCAGGTGGGAGGGGGAGAAGGGAGAAATCACCCTTTCCCCCGAAAACCTCAAGAGAAGAAAGCAATCCCTTCCCAAGCAGAGCCACTTAATTGAGATAATGACCTCAAGATCTCCAAGGTTTAAGCTTCCGAGTGGGAAGGGGACAGCAACTTTGTACAGCTGTCTTCTTTCCCCCTTCCCACCATGTCCTAATCTTTTAAGGCCAACCAGGCCTCAGGCGCCGCTATCACTGAAAGAGCCAATAGGAGAGACCGAAGGGCCCGGACACTTACCATGGCTGCAGCTGGACAGCTTCTGGGACAGACGACTAGACTAACCTACGGTCAACCAGGCAGGTCACCTCTAACTGCAGCGGCACCCAAGCAGGAGGACAAGAGGTATTAGCCGGAAGGAGGAGCGACTCCCAGTTGCCAGGGACGCTGGGTGTGTAGTTTTTCGCTATCCTTATCCTGGCCCGGCCCCATAGCATTTCATTACACCTTCAGACTACAATTCCCGAAAGGCTTAGCGCCTATCTTTGCCTGTTCTACCTGCGCTGTTCATTTCAGAGCCAAATAGTCCCCGCCTGAGGGTCTCCTTGATTGGAGGGAGCCGGCAAGCGGATGGATTGAGGCGAAGGATTTGGTGGACGCCTAGATGGCGCTCAGCAATAGGCGGGAAGGAGGGGAGGTGGGTAGGAAGGGGAGGGAGTGACAGCCCCCTTGGCAACACTGTCTTCTGTGAATCGTTTAGGACACTTTTTTCTCTGGAGGTTATGCGTGGGCTTCCGCTGCGCCAAGTGGTCTCAACCCGGAAACTCAACGTTCGGGGCCAAGTGGTCAAACATTCGAGTGGGCGGACGTCAACTGGTGGGTTGGGGTAGGTTCGGGCTTGACTGGTTGCTAAGCGACGGGGCGGCGGGAGAGCTCCTTGGATTCTAGGTACCGGCGGGAAGTTCGGGCTACGTCACCCTCCCCTGTGCCTTTTCCGGCTCTGTGATTGGAGGAGACGCTAAAAGCCCTTCGCCTCCAGAACCTTTTCCCGGCTGGAAGTTGGGGGGACGCGGGGAAGAGTGCAGCCCCCTGTAACTGATTAGTGTGCAGGAGGGGAGGAAGTGTGTGGGAGCTGGTTCTCTAAGGCAAGTCCAGGGAATCGGGGCCCCAGCACCTCCCTCAACTCCGGGGACAGGTAAGTAAGTGCGAGGACCCTCCGCGTGGGCTGCCTCGGATTCCTTATCAGCTTCTCCGTGGGGTTGGTCTTTTTCCTCCCCTTTTCTGTCTGGACCCGGCCCAGAGATTTCAAGCTTCCTGAGGGCAAGGGAGCTCTTGGGGACTTTAATAAACACTGTTTGACCGACTGACTGATCCTGCTGCCTTCCCCAGAACCCTGGGCATCCTCATGGCCCTTCCTGGAGGCTGTGTCAAAATAGGGGAAACTTTTCGTCCTAGTAGTTATTCATCCAAACACTCCCACCCGCCTCTACGTCACTTCACGTGTGCCTCAGTCCACTCTAGCATCCACCATTGACTTTACCGTTCTCGTGAGCCTGGTTCGTCTTAGGATCACGACTGTATGACTCTAGGCTTCCCCCAAACCGGACTTGCCCATTCCAGATCCCCTCACCCTCTTCTCGAGAAGTAAAGGAGGTCTTTCTTGATTCTCAGGAGAAGAGGAGGTCTTTCTCAACTCCTTTCTAAATTCTCCCTAGGAGAACGAATCAAGAGGACAGACTGCCTCCTCTTCTCCAGAAGAGAATGGGAGGAAACCATAAAAGTTACGAGTTAGTTGATCCAGGCAGTCCTAGCTAAACATAACCTGAAAAAATAGTTATTTAGAAGTGATGCCGCTCAAGAGGATAGCTGCACTGCGTGAACTTCTTTCATGAGGGTCCTTGGAGAAGAATTGGAGTACTCTGAACTGTTACTCCATACATGGCAAAACTGAACAAAATGCTAACATCATCTAAAACATTTGTAAAACTTCTGATTTTCCAGTTTCATCTGGAACAGAAACTGAAAGTGGTAACTACTGATTTCTCTCCCTTTAATAGTGATTTTTGTATTGTATGAAAAGGAAAATTTTACTTCTTTTCTCACCTACTGCTAATGAAACGATTGAGTTTATTGTAATGGGAAATATTTGTAAGGATATTGAAACAAATATGGGATTTAAACTCAGTTTAAACTCATAAGTATCTATACATTTTCTTAGCACTCAAAATATTTGCTTGGTATATGATGTTTAGTATTCTGTTTCCCATTTTATATAATTTAAAAGTTTTTGCTCCATTGAGTGTTAATGTACACAATGATTTTAATTTTATTTTGATGGCATTTTCCTTATTACTATTTAGGTTATTTGGTGACCTTTTACTTGACACACATTTCCACATTATGTTTTTGCATGCATATTACATTAATATGTAATGTTAAAAAGGTAATAGAAAATAATCAATTAAAACTTTCAGGGGCTTGTGAAGTTATATTTTAATGGTAAAATTTTTGGTCAAGTTGGTTTTTGTCATAAAGACTTAAAAAGAAATGATTGAAGGCACAACTCCTCTCCATGTGGTTGTGACCTTCCCCTCTCGTTTACCCACTTGTATCTCTCACGTCACCTCTCTTATTCTCCTGCAGCCTCTTTTAGGAGTCATTATCTCTTTGTTGTTCATATGTGAACTTGATAAGGATATATCACCCATTCCCCTCTTTCCTCTACTTTCCTTTTCTCCATCTACTGGGTACTGCCTTCAACTCTGCCTTCACTGCTGCAAGGCAATTTTTCTACAATTCCTTATCCCACAAACCATAGCAGCTCTTCCAAATCTTTTCATCCCTTCTCAAACCTCCCTTGGATCCCCCTCTTCCCATCCTTCCCCTTGCTTCATATTTCACTGAAAAGTTGAGGCCTTTCACAGAGAGATCCCTCTTCTCTCCAATTCTCATCTCACAACATCCAGATGCCTTCTGACACAATCTCCTCCACGCCTGTTTCACCTGGAGGTAGTTCTTCTCTTTGCCAAAGCAGACTCCTCTACATGCCCACGTGTACAAGTGATCCCATTCTATCTTGTTTTCACCAAAAGATTGCTCCTTCTAATATTTCCACTCTCTTACTCATTTTCAATCTCTCCTAGTCTATTGGCTGCTTCTCTGTTGCCTACTAACATGCTCATCTCTCCCCCATCCTCAAAAAACCCACTTGAAGCATCCATCTGCACTAACCCCTCATCTCTTCTTCCTTTTGTGAGTTAACTCATTGAAAAGGCTGTGTACAATAGGTGTAGGTGTGTCTACTTCTTTTCCTTTCTTAACTCTCTGCAATCTGGTTTCCAACCTCATCATTCAACGGAAATTCCTCCCTCCAAAGTTACTAAAGATCTTTTAATTGCTGAATCTAATGGCCTTTCAAAATGTTCATTCTTCTTGACTTTGTAGCCTTTGACACTTGATCATCTCCTTGATGCTCTCTTATGTCTAGGTTTTCATGATACTGCCCTATTCTGCTTCCTCTCCTATTTATCTGACTACTTCTTTTCAGTTTCCTTCATCCAGGTTATGCACCCCAACAATTAATGTCCCACTGGGCTCTGTCCTTGGCCTTTTATTCTGCCCCCTTTGCACCACCACTTGGCAAGAACACCCACAGACATGGTTTTAAATATTGTCTCTATGCTGATGATTTTTATATCTATTGATTCAGCTCTCACCTCTCTCCTAACCTCCAGACTTGGATCTCCAGTTGCTTATTAACATCTCAAACTGGATGTCCTGTGGACATCTTAAGCTCAACATGTCCAAAACTGAACTCGTTATCTTTTTCCCCCTTTCCAGATTTCCCTGTTACTATTGAAGCTACCTCCTCCCTCTCCCAGGCACCCAGGTTTACAACCTCAGTCACCCTTGACTCCTCACTCAACTTCTCCCTTTCCCATATCCAGTCTGTTGCCAAGTGCTGTCAGTTTCACTTTAGCAACATCTCTTGTGTACACCCCCATCTCTCCTTTGACACTGATGCAGGTCTTCATCACCTCACCTGGTGATGAAGCACCTGCCTCAAATGTCTCCCTATTGCAGTCCATCTTTAGCTCAGCTGTTAAATTAATTTTCTTAAAGTGCAAATCTGACCATGTCATCTTCCATCACCTCTAAGATCAAATATGAAATCCTCTATTTGGCATGCAGAGCTCCTCATAACCTGCACCCTCCCCACCTTTTAATCTTTCTTATATCTTCCTCCCCTCCTTCCCCCACAACATTCTAAGATCCAGTTATTTTAGCCTCCTTGCTATTCTACAAACAAGACATTCCATCTCTAGACTGGGTGTCCTTTGTGTCCTTGCTCTTAGCACAGTGCCTGGCAGATAGTAGGTGCTTGATAAATATTTATTGACTGACCACACCTTTCTACTATGCATTCCAGCAATATACCTTGATTCACCTGTCAAGGTGTCCTAGGACTTGAAATACTTGATGTACATGAAATCCATGGCACTTCAGTTGTGCTCTTCTACCTTCATTTCATTTCTTTAAATTCCACTTGTATCTTTATCATCTTATGTCTTTTTATCTCTTGATCCTTTAGAAAAACTTTTAAACATGGAGTAATTTTTTTTTATTATTTATCCTTTCCTTGGTACTTGTAATTATTTATCTTTCTTATGGTTCCATTTTTGGGGTATTTGCAAGTTGAGTATTGTGTTCTTGTCTCGGTGTTTTTTTTTCCAGGAATGCAGGGAATACCTTTCTGTTTTTTGAACACCCCGGTTCATCTCTTCAGCTTTGCAGAGTGTCTTTTTGGGTTGTAGCTTGAGCCTCTTTGCTTTTCAGAATATAATATTCCATTCACTTCTGAAGTTTTATGTGTATAAAATAATCTTGTGTTACTAAAATTTCCTTCCTTTTATATTTCAAGGTCTTTTTACTATTCCCTTTAAGAATTTATTGTTTGTCACTGGAATTGTTAAATTTAACCACTATGTGTCTTGGAAGTTGAAACTTAGTCCCATCCTCCCTCCATTGGGTCTATGGATTCTTTTTATTGACTTTGTTTTCTTGTGCTCTTTCTTGCATTATGATGTTCAAATTTTTTTTGATTTGTCATTTTCTTCTGGGAAACCTGTGATCCTTGGGTTCTCTTTGTGCATCTTGTATTTGAGGCCAGTAGCTCTGGCTTTTATAAAGATCATGTATTCTTTTAATCTTATTGTCTTTTGCTTCTTGTCTGCCAGATTTTCTTCGACTTCAGTATTTTTGTATGCTATTCAGTATTCAGTATTTTGTATGTTAAACTCTTACTTCTTCAAAGAAACTCTTTACAGTGGATTAATTTTCCCACATTTTGCTAATTTAGTTTTTTTATTTCTTCATTAGCAGCAATGAAATATGACATGTATTCTTTCCTAATTTATTTTATTTCAGATTTCACTTACCTTTTGAACTATTTCAGAATTTCTTGTTACTCTGTGCTCTTTTGGGATTCCACAAGATTCTCTGTTTTATCAGGCATTGTGATATTTGTTAAGAGAGTTTTGTTATCTCTTTGAGGGTTTGGCATTCATCCTTCCTTCTAGTTTTACAATCCTCAGTGCTGATTTATCTGCTTGTGTCAGGGGTTTTTATTGAGTTTTCTTTCTCTTGAAATATTTTGTATTATCGCTATTATCCCTTATATTCCCCTGTTATTCACTTTCTGACTACTTCTTTGCTGGTGGGTGTACCCCTACAGTTAGGCTACAATGCTACTTCGATTTCCTCCCACATCGAGGTATTTATATTTCACTGGCCTTGGTCTCTGCCCTTAGTAGCCAGTGGTGGTGGGGACAATAATTGCCTTAGATAGGTTTCAATCCTCTTTCCTTTAGGCCTAGTGCAGCCACT